CTCGCAGCTCAGGCCCACTGCCATGTGGTGCGGGTAGCCCAGCACCTGCTCCGAGTGAAGGATCTGGAAGATGACACAATAGCACACGACAGGATGAGCTTTGACGCCACCAGTATACAGAATATACTTCCTCGTCTCATCTCTGCAAATCAATTTGCGCGGTAACGACGCCGTCCTGACGTCGTCCGCAACCCAAACGCGGAGTAATCATAACAAGCCCCCCTTCCTTGCTCCGGAGGAGCCCCGCGGGCGGCGGGGGGGAGAAGGGGGAGAAGGGGGAGAAGGGGAGAGAGCTCTAGGAGGGCACAAAGGGTGAGAACGCAGCAGCCGGGCTGGGGAGAGAGAGCGGGCTGATACCCAACACCTGTTGCAGTCCCGCGCGGAGCGGGTCTAGGCTTCCCCCGCCCCGCTCCACTCCGGGCTACACCCGCTTCCGGTCAGAGACGGGACTATACTTTGTCCCACATTGAGGAGCAGCTCCGGCAGCTCGCTCAAAGGACATACGACACTTTTGTAGACCGAAATACACACAGCCCGCGACACCTAATCCTTTTCTTAAAACAACGCTGCCCCCCCCCCCCTCCCCTTTCCCATTCTCGGCCCAGGTGCGCCAGCCAGGTTCTCATTAAATTTAACGCGACATACGCGTAATGAGCTTAACGCGTGAGGCAAACGCAAAATACACAGCTGTAAATCCGTCATCCTCGAGGAGAGGGAGCGCGCGGCGAGATTTACTGCATGGCTGTGCTTTGGCCTGCAGGCAGCCGGCCGCGCAGCCCCGCTCAGCCGCGCTCAGTCCCGCGCAGCCCCGCGCAGCCCTGCGCAGCCAGCGATAAATTCCGCCCTGCAGGGTCAGCCGAGCCGAGCGCGGGCGGGGGCGCCTCTCTCTTTCCCTCCATCTCTTTAACCCCTCCCCCCTTCACTCTCCCGCTCTCTCTCTCTCTCTCTCTCTCTCTCGCTCTCGCGCTCTCTCCAGAACGGGGAGGGGGGACGGTACACACAACAATAGTCCATCCTGCGGTCCGGGTCACCCCCGCCTGATTTGGCGAGATATGATTTAAATTCCTGGCGGGCGCACAGAGGTGTGCGATCGGAATAGACGGCGGGTAAAATTATTCCTCCCTCCCTTCTCCCCCCCCCCCCAACAACCACCACGCGGTCATAAATCTGAAGTTCGCTCCAAACTCTGGACGTAATCATGCGTCATTTGTCTGCAGCCGCGCGCTCCGACACACGCGTGCACACTCGGCGTGCACACTCGGCGCGTACGCAAAGTGGAGGGCAGAGGGCGCGTGGCGCAAACAATCGTTATTTGCAGCCTAGCGGCATGCAGGAAATCCAGCGATCAGTGTTGCGGTCCGCATCAACGTTGACAACCACTGATGATAGCAACAAAATGACAAAAACAAACTCAATCTAAAAAATAATAACCTTTTGTATGCTAATTTGAGCAGGGCTTTGAAAAGGGCTTTCAGTGATATTTGTTTGAGTACAATTTACAGCCCTACTTGTAAAATTACAACGAGCCAAAAAGGAGGGCATATCGGGACTTCGGAGCTGGGGTGGCTACTTTACCCAAATAATGAGATCTAGGCATTACTGCTTTGAAGCATTTAGAGTTATCATTTTAAATTTCACGCCATCAAATTACAGCCTGTTGTAAAATGTTAGTAACAAGTAGGGTTCTAAATTGGTTTCACAGATGAGGCTGTAAAAGTACAGTTGTTTGTCTCAGTGTGCACACTGCACCCATGGGCATGAGGACACCCCGCTGTCAGGGGCCGGAAGGGAGCACCTTTGTGTGCGGAAGCTCGCGTGTGCGGCATATGTACCAGAGAATGTACTCACCGGAGACGGGCAGCGTGGGCACGCAGTCCATGCGCACGTCGGTGACGGCGCCCGTGATGGCCTGGCTGACGTAGACGAAGCAGTACTCGACGTACCGCTCCGAGAAGAGGTCGCAGTCGAAGGCGACGGCGTGCGAGCCCGTAGCGACACGCTGCTCGGCCACGTACTGCAGCGTGAGCGGCGGCAGCAGCGTGGACACGTCGGCGCGCAGGCGCGCGAACAGGCGCACGCGGTCGCCGGCCGGCAGCACGCAGCCCGGGTACGTGAAGAGCGCCGACACGCCGCTGTGCGCCGCGCACGGGAAGATGGAGCGCGCGTGCACGTTGAACACGAACCGGTCACTCCACACGGCCTGCACATACGGAGAGAGATTACTTTAAGAAGTTTGATTGGACGTACACTACTGCACGAAAGTTCACAAAGCATCTGCCATGTGACCTGCAAGCAGAACGTAAACATATTGTAGCCTAACGAAGCAATGGTTCTTAATTAGGAAGTTCATCACTAAAAAGCGATAATTTCCTCACTGTAAAAAATATCGTCGTAAATTTACAAAAAAAATTGTAAACTTGAATTATAATTTAAGTTGTAAATTTACGACAGCACATTTTTTACTCGCCAAGGGATTTGAAGTCGATACATACTGCATGTAATTTTACGATTGCAAATTGTAATTTTACAACTTGCGTCAAGGAAAATTTTCCTGTTAACCTACCTACTTTTTTTCACAGTGTATCTATTACAAAGCGATACTTCGTAAACGCTTTGAATAACGATGCTTTCATTTTGTTTGCAAAGTTAAAAACTTTTTCTAGAGTGTAGAATATTATTGTAAATTCCGGTAGAGCCACAATAAAAAAATTAGCACTTTTCCCTTGTAGAAATAATGGAAACTAAGTTGTCGGTATGTTTAAGATAATCAGTTGTCAAAATATCAGAAAACTCGTTGAAACAGCAGAAATAAATCGTAAATTTACAGAACATTTTTGAAAACTTACAGAATGAAAAAATTAGGCTCCGGAAAAGTCCAAGAATACTCTGCTTTAGGCACTTTGTTACACAAAATTACCAATCAACGCTAGGAACCTTTACGTCGGAGAAGTTAATATTTGCCTTAATGAAATCTGACCAAGCACAACGCGTCATGTTTCAAAAGCAAGGTTGACAAACACATTTTCAGCAGAGTGGTGGCCCGGGCCCGAGAGTGGCCGTAGCCGAGCGGAGAGCGCCCGCACGCTTGTAGGGCCCCGGAGGGGGTCGTAAGCCCTGCTTCCACGGACTGGGGACTGTGCGAGGGAGCGAGAGAGCGAGAGAGCGTCCGAGAGGGAGAGTGAGGGAAAGCAGACAGAGAGGGGGGAGGAGAGGCAGAGACGTACCTGCTCATGGCCGGTCCGTGCTCCACACGCGCGGGGTGGGGGTGCGTTTGGCTTAAGGTCTGGACTCCGTCTCTCTCACACCCGTGGGGGACGCTCAGCCTCTGCACCTCTTTCTCTCTCTCTATCTCCTTCTCTCTCTCCCTCTCTCATTCTCTCTCTCTCGCCGGACATAATCGGCCTTGACGCGACCCAGGGCTCACCTTGATGGTGGCGTTGGTGGCGGCGTCCAGGGGCCAAGCTGCTACGGCGGGCCTGCCGGCGCGGAGGTGCAAGCTGTAGTAGCCCGCCATGCCGAACAGCTCGCAGCTCAGGCCCACTGCCATGTGGTGCGGGTAGCCCAGCACCTGCTCCGAGTGAAGGATCTGGAAGATGACACAATAGCACACGACAGGATAAGCTTTGACGCCACCAGTATACAGAATATACTTCCTCGTCTCATCTCTGCAAATCAATTTGCGCGGTAACGACGCCGTTCTAACGTCGTCCGCAACCCAAACGCGGAGTAATCATAACAAGCCCCCCTTCCTTTCTCCGGAGGAGCCCCGCGGGCGGCCCGGGGCCCTCCTGCTGCGGCCTCCCGCGGCGGCACGGCGCCGGGAAGACCATGAATGCGGAATGCCGCGCGAGAGTTCATAACTCAGTTGCGCGAAGGGGGCGGCGGCCGGCCCCCGGGCGGGCACAGCGCACAGCGCACGCTGGACGAGCGCCGCGGAGTCTGGCGGAGGAGGTGCCTGACGTGAGCTGTAGTTGCACCTCGGGATCCCTCTCCGCAGGCCGAGGCGGAACTTGAATGAAAGAGAGTGTACCGATAGGAGGGCAAGGCAGAGCGACATTTTGAATACATTTCGTGACTCCTGGTGGAGCGATATTAATGCATCGTAAGTTAGGGCTGTGACACAACAGTGTTGGTTTGCACACCCTTAAGCGTCTGTCCTAGCTCTCTGACCTGACACCGTATGCTCAGCTACTTTCATTTGAAGGACATTGTGTTCACACATCAGTGTTCGTAGACAGCGTACCAACAGTCATTAGTCGGAAATAAACACGGATCACCACTATACTTCTAACGCTCCTACAGGAAACGTATCGGCACAGCAGCAAGTCAGCGTAACAAGACTATAGTCTTTGGTTTATCCTATCGAAACTTCTACCAAGTTGTCCAGGCAAAACTGGCCCTTTCACCGGCGTCGCTTTTCCGGGCCGGAGGGGACACGGGTGCAGGTGGAGCGGGACACGTGTTGCGCTGGGCTCGCCTGCCACCAGCGGGACCAAAATTCACTTAGGACCCATCCATAAATTACGAAGGCATGTGACTGGGGCTGTAATAGGAATCCCGCCGCCATCAGAGCCCCGGTCTGAGTGCGGCGAGGGTGGGGGGTGATGAGGGGGCTGGGGGGAGGTTGTGGTGAAGGGTCGCTGCGAGATCCCTTGGACGGGTTACCCGAGGAGAAGAGCTTCTCAATATCGTCTTCCAGGACGTCCCAGATTACGTGCTCCGTGAGGCGGCTCTCTATGCGGCAAACTAAATGATCAAATTATATCGATCCTGCCGGTTCTCCTCTATGGGACCTCAAGGTCGACTCAGCTGGTCCTCTGCTCCGCGAAGAGCCTCAACAAGGTCACCCTCCTCGTGCCCCCTCCCGGGCCGGAATGACTCGCGCGACAAGTTCTTATCTAAAATCCCGAGATTATCGCGCCGTACTTTTTCCTTGGGTCTGGCCGGAGAGGGGTGCTTCTAGCCTTATCAGGGATTATTGGGAACGCGCAGTATGACGGGTGAGGCGGGGGTCGTGGGGGGCTTGCTGTGGGGTCTACGGAGGACGGGGGGGCTGAGCAGGGGGCTGAGCAGGGGGCTGAGCAGGGGGCTGACTGAGGGAGGAGGGGGTACCGTGTCGGACCGGGCACCGCCGTGCAAAACACGGCTCACTGCCCCTGACAATGCCCCGGGACTTTTGCCCCTCCCCTTCCCCCCTCACACCAAGCCGAACCCCGCCGTGCACACGCCCAGCGTGACGCTCCCTCAGCACCCTCACCGAACCAGCCAAAGCTGGCTCGTAGATAATCACGGGACGTATTTCTCGGGAGGTGCACGGTGGTGTGTGAGGAGTAGAAGGGGGTAAGGAAGAGAGGGGGGGGGGCTGAAACTCAGTCGAGCGTTTTTTTCCCTCTCTTAGCTTTTC